CACAGAAGCTAAACAAGGAGACTATCTGATTGGCTATAGCTTACGTGGTTGCCTAATTTGGGAAAGCCTAGTTGGCTATCTGTGATAGGTTGTTCTTAAGTTTCGTTTTCTCAGATTCCAGTGCATTGATTCTGGCTGAGGTTTCAGTTTGCTTACAAAGACTACCAAGGCAGAAAAACCACCTCAGTCTAACGGACTCCTTCTTTAATTACGTTAACAGAAACAGGGGGCTGTGTTAAACATTTTAATAATAATTTTTATTTTTAAAAAAATGGTCATTTAAGTTTTCACTTTTTTTTTGCACCATTAACAACAGAATTATGAAAAACTAAAACTCAAAACACAAATAAACATGCTCCAAGAGAAGACAAAGGGGCTGAGCAGTGAGGGTCCCTGCCCACTATGGGGGTCTCCATTTTCACAGCCAGAGCAGGCTGGGAGCTCTGCAGTCAGGTACCTCGGGCCTCAGAGCCCTCCTGAGTACTGCACCGGCCTGTACATCTCATCCAGATATCAGTAGGTCCCACTGAGCTGCCTCAACTGCTGTGCTCAGGAAGGCATTCATATGGCCAGTCACTTGGTCTCACATTCATTCTGGATTGCTCATTACATTAGCCCTGGCCCAGGCTCTGAATTTTAACTCACAGGGATGGTGAATTTCAGTCAATAAACAGATAATCAGTAATGAGAACTTTTATAATATAGAGAGCAAGTTGTCTTAATGAGAAGTAAAAAATTCTCAGTTGAATGATAATAAAAACGGAAGTTCAAATGGAACTTTTAAAAGTCCCAAAGATGGAAAATTCTGTTCTTAGGAATTAATTACCGATTAGAAGACTGGTTAGGGTTTTATCAGTCTGAAGGAGGAACTAAATTGGTTTACAAAGCTATTTTTTTTTCTTCTTCTTCTTCTTGCACCCAGCACAGGACAGGGACAGAGCAAAATGAAAGAAAAACCGTGGAAGACATTTGTATTAAAGTTGACTTAAAGAGCAATTTCCTTGGGGAGTAAGATCCTAGAGGCTAAGGTGGCCAGATTTGAAAAAGAGACCCGTCCTGACCCAAATGCTCTTAAAGCTGGGACTCTGAAAGAGGGCATTATTTTGGGATGGATAGATCAGGGATGATGACACGTCCCAGCAAAACCCAACAGAAAAAGAGGCAAATTATTAGAGAGAAAATGGAAATTATCCCGCAGATTGGGAAGCTGTGGACAGTTGCCCTGGAAAAACTGACAGGAGCAATTGCAGGACCATGCCCATTCCTCCCTCACCCCACCCTCAGGCCTCGGATTGGGATTGTTCTACAGAGCAGCAACAGAATTTGGACAGAATTCATTTAACAATCATTCAAGTAATTCTTGAGCACCCAGGCACTGTATGGGTGGATAAAAATTCCCTGCTCTCCTATTTCAAATTGGTTGTTTCCTAGAAACTAAGGCTATGTCAGGACGTGATTTAAAAACAAACCCCCCCCAAAAAAAAATAAATGAAAAAAATAAAAAAATAAAAACAAACCCCCAAAAAGATAAATATAGAATGGTGAGAGGGAAAGAGTGTGGGAGGGGAGGTGAAGGGTGTTACTATATCTAGGGATTGAGGAAGGCCTCCCTACGGGGGTGACATTTGAGGGGAGACATGGAGGAAGTAACTGAGCAAGCCCCGCTCCAGCTTATCACGTTCACAGAGGAGTGAGGAGGCCGGCCCGGCCAGGGTGTGGCATCCGGATTGATTGATTGATTGATTATTTATTTATGTATTTTAATTTGGTTGCGCAGGGTCTTAGTAGTGGCAGGTGGGCTCCATAGTTGCGGCTCGGGCATCTGGATTTTTTTTTTTTTTTTTTTTTTTTTTGCGGTACGTGGGCCTCTCACCATTGTGGCCTCTCCCGCTGCGGAGCACAGGCTCCGGACGCGCAGGCTAGGCGGCCATGGCTCACAGGCCCAGCCGCTCTGCGGCATGTGGGATCTTCCCGGACCGGGGCACGAACCCGTGTCCCCTGCATCGGCAGGCGGACTCTCAACCACTGCACCACCAGGGAAGCCCAGGGCATCTGGATTTTAAAAAGAGCTCTTTGGCGACTCTGTAAAGGCTGATTTTTCAGAGAGAACACTATGGGAAGAATATGAATCAAGGGGCTATCAAAATTGTCCCGCCAACAAATAATGAGGATCTTTTCTCATTATTCCAACAAATAACGAGGAAGTGATGGTAGGTAGGGAAAGGAAGGAATGCACTATATGCTGAAGTTGCTTCCTGCTCCTTGCACCTGTTGGAAAAGCAGGCAGGTGGCCCCAGCCCTCAGGACTGCTGGGAAATGCCAGGAGGCTTTAAACCCTTCTGTATTCGTTTCTTCACTTACTACCACAAGCTGGGTGGCTTAAAACAATGAAAACTTATTATCTTACAGTCCTGGAGGCTGGAAATCTGAAATCAAGTTGTCAGCATTATGACTCATGTCTGAATGAAGCTCATCTAGCACACATGTTTTCTCCATAGGGCACATCCCAGCCTTTGTGCTCTTAGAAACTCAGGACACTACTTCAGCACTACACTTGGGGCCACTTTAAACAACAGAGTCACCAACAAAAAGCACAAAAATTCGAAAAACATGGCACAAACAGACCATGAAAAGGACACCTGTTTACAGCATGAGAGCTGATTCAAGACGGCAGAGTGCCGTCTTGTTCCCTTTCAGCTGGGAGCATGTGCAATGGGTAACTCAAATTTTTGCCACTCTGTGCATGTCCCAAGCTTTCAGAGATGGCCTCCTCAGAGCAGCTGACCCAGGGCCCAGCCCAGGGTTCAGAAAGAGTGTCAGCGAGTGTCTAGGCTGAGTCCTGACCCTGTTTGAAAGAGAATGGCCCCTGGCTTAGAAGCTGAGATGAATGTCCAGAGGGACCAGCCACAGCCATTCCCCATGAGGAAGGGACAGAACCTGCTGTGCCCTGGCCAGCAAAGAGGCAGTGATGCAAGCGCCTATTTATACACATAAATTTCCATTTCCGGAGTGGATGGGTCCCTGTGAGAGTTGAGGGTGTTCCAAATAAGGTCCTGGAAATTGTGTTTGTCAAGCTCTCCACATAAGAGACCAGCATCTAAGGGCTCTCCTCTCTGTACCAGGCACACCTAGAATCCTTCCACATAAAAGGCACATTTTGGGCTTCCCTGGTGGCGCAGTGGTTGAGAATCTGCCTGCCAATGCAGGGGACACAGGTTCGAGCCGTGGTCTGGGAGGATCCCACATGCCGCGGAGCAACTAGCCCCGTGAGCCACAATTACTGAGCCTGTGCGTCTGGAGCCTGTGCTCTACAAGAGAGCCTGCAACAGTGAGAGGTCGGTGCACCGCGATGAAGAGTGGCCCCCGCTTGCCGCAACTAGAGAAAGCCCTCGCACAGAAATGAAGAGCCAACACAGCCATAAATAAATAAATTAATAAAATTTAAAAATAAAAAAGGCAAAATTCCTTTAAAAAAAAAAAAAGGCACATTTCATCCTCCAAAAGCCTGAAGCCCCTTGTTCACTGCCACACTGACCAAAGACCCCTGACTTCCAGTCCAGACTCTCCCCTGTACCCTCACCCTCTTCCTAAATCTTCTCCTAATCTGCCCTGAGGTTGAGAGTACGTGGGAGGAGTACAGAAAAAGAATTTGAAAGAGAGAAATTGATTAAGCGGGCTCCCCAAATCTGGTTAATTTGTGACCCGAGCCAAGTAATATATAGAAACAAAACTGGAGGGTGAGGAGGGCAGACTCTGATGGCCCAGGGTGGGCCTGCTGTTGAAGGAGCTGAACTCTGGTGCAGCAGCAGAGGGCGGGAAAGAGGTGCCTGTGAGGTTGCCAAATGCTGCCATGGCCAGCCCCTCCCCCTCCCCCTCTTCCTCCCCACCCACCCCCACTGCCTCCCTCCCTCCCACTTCTATCCCTTCCTTTTCCATCTACAGCCCACTGCTCAGACTGCCAGTGCCTGACCCAGCTGGTGGATGCCACCAGGCAGCCCTAGGACTGGTTCCCCCAAAAGCAGGCTCTGTAAACCTTGCGGGAAGGAGGGACACCTCCGTCTCCCTCTCGTGTGATTGCTACCAGGATCTCTCCAGGTTTCCCTTCCCTTCCGCTTCCTCGTGTGGTCTCCACCGTAACCGTAACCGAGCATCAGAAGCACTTGGGGAGCTGTTTAGAAACGGTGATGCCCAGATCAACTCAATGAGAACTTCTGGGGCTGGGACTAGTAGTGTCCCTGTGAGACACGAATATGAATATCCCGCTCTCTTCTCTTCAGCCCCACGGAGCTTTCCCAGGCCTTGGCATACCCCACCCCTACCCCAGAAACCCAGAATTCTCTGGAAAAACAGGTAAGTGATGTTACTCATGGTAGTTAGAGAGAAGACATTCAGCCTATGTTAATTTAATTGCGACAAACACTCTCACACCCTTTAATACTTGTGTTCAAATATTTATATCATTTAAGCGCACAGAGTTTTCAAATTAGAATATTCTCACCAGAGCAAGGGGCTAAAGGTAATCTTTACGTGACCCAGAAACACTATCTGGGTATCTTTCAAGATCTCCTTACATAATTATTTTCAAAGGTGGTTTTAATGAAACAGAACAGGATATGACATTTTCACACAATATCTCATACCGGCTACAAAGTCAGACCGATCCTTTGTTTAAATATTCTCTGGTCACCACCTTGTTATCTGAATGAGCTTTACGCTGCAGAAGAGTATTTGCATTTGTTCAACTGCAGGGGAAAAGGAGGAGGCCATTCTCCCCTTCAGGAGATCTCTTTCTTCAGCAGCAGTTAGGAGGCGGGCACAGGAATTTCTTTAGTTAACACCAGGCAGGACCAGGGAGTGGACAGTGGAACATGTACTGAGTGGGCCCTACAACCTGAAGGTGGGAGGGAAGGTGGGTGAGGGAGGGAGGGAAGGTGGGTGCTCTGGGTGGGGTGGATCTGCGCACAAGGCAGGAGGGCAGGGAGGGCAGGAGTGTTCAGAGGATGGCCCGGAGTGCAGGGCTGGGGTTTAGTGTGGAGGCGCGGATACGGCCTTGGGGGAGCATGAGCCTGGCAGGGCTAAGGCTGGTAGAAAGGCAGGGCTGGCCTGTGAGGGGTCTGAACGCCATGCTACAGCCCCATGTGGGTGGGGGTTTCCGCCTCTGGAAAGACCCGCAGCTGCAGTGTGGAAAGTGGCTCAGGCAGCCCTGGAGGCGCCGGCAGGCCAGGACAGAGGCTGTTCTGCGGGCCTGAGCTGAGGTAGGAGCTGCCAGCCTGGAGGACTCGCTGAGGGCAGGGCTTTCCTCTCCTGCTTTAGCACCCACCCTGGCGTCAGCCCCGCTGCTCTCTCCTTCCTCCTTCCCTAGCCTGTCCTGGAGGAAGTAGGGGATGATGAAGCACCTCGGAGTGTGGCCATGGCCTCCCACCCACGTGGGGACTTTGTAGCCTCATCTCCGGGGCAAAGGAACTACAACAGCTTTGGTCTCCAATGGGTGGAAGAGTGGGCTTGGGAGTTGCCTTGGACAGCTGAGTGCCTGTGAAACACGGTCCCACAGAGACTTGGCACAAGCAAGGAAGTAAAGAGCAAGGGCGAGGATGCAGGGATGCAGGAATTTGAGCAAGGTCCCAGGATGGCCGTGTCCTTCTTTGCATCTCTCCTCCCGGATCGTGAGCACAGCAGCCCAATGGACAGGGATTTTCAAATGTTACTTCTAGAAAGGAAAACTGCAGCCTGTCTCCACCATCTGTAGGGCTTCGGAGGTAAAAAGGTGTGTTCCCAGTTAAAGGTGGGCAAATAGCAGAGCCAGGCTGAGATCCACCCGTCCTGACATGGAGTCCAGGGCCCTCCTTTGGTAATATTTTGCTGGATGAAGCCATGCATTCCGTGTCTTTCGAAATTCCCTGTGGAGCCTAGTGCTGTTCTCAGAACTTGGAGCCAGCATCAACTGACCTTTGGTCCTTGGGGCAAAGACCTGGTCCATGAGCCCAGTCCAGGGACATAAAGGGAGAGTGGGTCTGAACCCTTGCTCTCTAAAGTGGGAAACCTCATGTCCTGCTCCAGATCCGTCAGAGCCCGGGAGACACTGTCGCACCCAGCTCACGGGGACAGCAGCGATGTGTCAGGACATGGAGGCGTGGAAGCAGGTGTTCCAGGAATTAATCCGGGAGGTGAAACCATGGCACACGTGGAAACTGACACGAGACAAAAGCCTTCTTCCTAACATCCTGAAGCCAGGGTGGACACAATACCAGCAGTGGACCTGTGCCAGGTGAGTAGGGAATGCGATAGCAATATTCCAGAAAATTCTTGCTTATTTCTTACGGTGTACACTCGTTACTTGTCTTGTTGTGCTCACGCTTGTAAACTGAAGATTACAGGAAGCAAGGTGCCCTTGATCCAAGACGTTTTGGCTTCATTAAAAATTTTTCCTTTTTACACTGAACCGCAAAACCATAGCAGGACTGGGCTAATGCCCAGATACAGAGAAAACAGGCTGCGAGGGGTGAGGGTGAGAAGCAGTGAGGGAAAGAGAAGGGGAGGAGTGGAGGCTATTTCCCTCAACCGCAGGAGAGTTGGACGAGCGGGACCCAGGGCTCATGCTCCCTGCATTGGGAGACCTAGGGTCCAACACAGAGTCCGTGGGGAGAGGCCCTGTGTGCTGAGGAGAAGCGTCAGGGAGGGGGCAGAGGACGGGGAGAGCTGAGCAACACACAGCAACCTTACCCCTCTCTACTCCAAGCTGATGGAGTCTTTTTAAAATAGGACCCTCAGAAGTCATCCAGAGTCTCACCCTCTTTTCCAGTTGGGAAAGCAGAGCCCCAAGGATTGAGGGTGGGAGGCTGGGACTCTAGCTCGGGACTGGGGCCGTGCTCATTGCCTGCCCACCAACCCCTCGCCAGGAGAGGGTCCGGGCAGAGGAAGAAGAGCTCTCTTCTCCTGGTGGTGCGTGGTTTTCCCAGGCCAAGAGCATGGGAGCAGAGTCTCAGCTCATTTCTCCCAGTTCTGGAGGCTGGAAGTCCAAGATCAAGGTGCCAGCTGCTCTTCTGAGCCACAGGCTTCTCCTTGTGGCCTCACATGGCAGAAGGAGCTAGGGCGCTCTGTGGGATCGCTATTATAAGGGGACTAATCCCATTCCCAAGGGCTCCACCCTCACAACCTAATCACCTCCCCAAGGCTCCACTTTCTAACACCATCACCTTCAACGTTAGGATCCCAACATGGGAATTTGCGGGGGGACACAAACATTCAGACTACAGCACTTATCCACACCCACTTGTATCTATTTTTGGATTTCAGTTCAGGGTTCTTGGGGCTGTTGCACTTGTAGCCTTTGACCCACTTAAATCTACATTTGAAGAAGCCTTGATTTGGGGTCAAGAGACTGGAGTTCCAGTCCTGCCTCTTCCACTCACTGGGTCTCTGGGCGTGACAAGTTCCCAGCGTGTGCCTCATCTCTAAAATGATCACACCGGACTTCGAATTTGCCCAAGATTCCTTCCAGCTCTGATGGCTTGTGATTTGCTGTTTTCATGGCAGACATATCTGTGGGTCACAGAGCATGCTGGTGGCACAATGGAGAAGGGGCTCGGGATTTCTTCCCCACTAATCCACGACCCGGATCAAATCATGTTTCTGTGTGTCCCTCCAGCACAGCCCACAACTGGGCCATACTGGGCCATACTGGGCCAAGCTGAGGGTCTTGTCTTCTTTCTCCACAGGTTCCAGTGCTCCTCATGCTCTCGAAATTGGGCCTCTGCCCAAGTTCAGGTTCTTTTCCACATGCACTGGAGTGAGGGGGAATCCAGGGGCCAGGTGAAGATGAGGGTCTTTGCCCAGAGATGTCAGAAGTGCTCCAAGCCTTCGTTTGAGGTTCCCAAGTTTACAGAAGAGAACATCTCAAGGATCCTGAACAACCTGGTGTTGCAAATTCTGAAGAAATGCTATAGAGAAGGATTTACGTTGGTGGAGATTCCTATGATCAAGGAAATCTCTCTTGAAGGGCCACATGACGGTGACAATTGCGAGGCATGTCTGCAGGGCTTCTGTGTGCAGAGTGAGTTAGGTCTGGCCATGTGGTCACCAATATCCAATTACCACCAATTACCTCCCACAATAAGCTCCCCCATCCTCGGGACCACCACCGAAAAACCTTCTCCCACGAGGAGTAGCACCGGAGGGGATGCAGTGAAGAAAAAGAAGGTATTACCCAGACAGTCGTTTCCTGAGACCACACAAGCTGAGAGCCTCCCCATTTCCTGGAGCCCGAGAGCAAACACCAACTTCCAGGCAGAGAGAAGAGACCAGAACTCCTTCAACAACTGCACTTTCTCTTCCCACACAGCCCAGCGTACCAGGAGCTTAGGCATGAGCTGCTGCTGCTGTCTCATGCTAATAATCATCATTGTAATTGTGGTAAAAACCACTATCTGAGCCTGGAAAGCATGATGTTGAGTTTATCAGACACACAGTCATCTATTGTATAATCCCATTGATGCAAAATATTCAGAATAGGTAAATCTAGAGATGGCAAGTAGATTTGTGGCTGCCAAACAAGGGACTGGAGGGAGAGGGGAAGTGGGGAGCAACTATTTAATCTGTATGGGTTTTTTGGGGAGGTGATGAAAGTATTTTAGAGGTGATGGTTGCACAACACTGTGAATGCACCAAATGCCATTTATCTGTTCATTTTAAGATGGTTAATTTAATATAAATTTCACCTCAATTTAAAAAAAAAAGAATGCTGCAATTTCATTCATTCTCTAGAGAACTGAGACTGAGGCGTTTATGGCTCACAGAACAGTTTGGAAATCTTAGGAGACCTGGGGGCCCTCTCCCCAGATGACTTTGCACAGACCTTCTGATGTCAATCTGTGGAGGCGTTTGCCGTCCAAAGCATTAGTCTGAAAAGCCGGGTTCTAGAGCAGTGGTCTCCACCGAGGAGCTACACGCAGCTGAGGGCTGAGGCAGGACCATCTGCCCAGGTGGGGAGATATCCTTACAACTCCATTTAATTTTTGTTTGTACTTAACTATTTCTTGTCACATGTTTTATCATGTATGTTAATATATTAGTAGAATGGTATAGTGATATGATAAATAAATACACACCCATTTGGAGTGGGTGTTCAGTTTCTCATTGACAGGGTTGCAAAATCAAAAACATTGTTACGGGGGACCCTGTTCTGAAGGACCAAGGGTGGAAGTCTGTCCGTGGATTCTCACCAGGATTCTGAAACCAAGTTGCTTTCTATACAAGTTTTCTATTCTGATTAATGAGAATAATTTTAAGACTCATTCTCACATCCTTTTTATCTAGAAATAGGAATCCTTCTGTATATGTAGCTAAAATGAAAGCAGTAGTCATTTACAGCAAATGCTCCTTTTCACTCGCCCTTGTCTCCTTCTCCATCTGCCTGCCTCTCTCATCAACGACAGTGGTTCCTGAAAGCACAGGCTGCTCAAGCTGGGACAGTCTCTAGAACTTTTTCATTTTGCAAAACTGAAACTCTGTAGCCATTAAACAACAACTCCCCTTTTCTCCCTCCCCCTAGGCCCTGCTAACTATCATTCTTCTTCCTGTTTGTATGAACCTGCCTACTTTAGATACCTCATACATGTGGAATTATATAGTATTCGTCTTCTGGTAACTGGCTTATTTCACTTAGCATAATGTCCTCAAGGTTCATCCATGTTGTAGCATGTGACAGGATTCCCTTCCTTTTGGGGGCTGAACAATATTCCACTGTATGTATGTACCAAACTTTGTTTATCCAGCCATCCATTGATAGACGCTTGGGTTGCTTCCACCTTTTGGCTGTTGTGAGTAGTGCTGCTGTGAACATGGGTGTACAAATATCTCCCTGAGACTCTGCTTGCAACTCTTTTGGCTATATACTCAGAAGTGGAACTGCAAGATCATATGGTAATTCTACTTTAATTTTTTGAGGAACTGCCATGATGTTTTCTACAGCAGCTGTACCATTTTACAGTCCCACCATAAGGATTCCAATTTCCTCACATTCTAACCAACTTATTTTCTGTTTTTTTTTTTATATAATAGTCATATCAATGGGTGTAAGGTGATATCTCATAGTGCCTTCGATTTGCATTTCTAGAAAATGCAATTTTTTATGATGTAAGTTTACACTTTCAAGGCAATATCAGGAATAATATTTGTACAACTCAGCACAGAGATAACTATTGGGAACAAAACAGAAATGTGTAGCTAAATTCTTCACAGACTTGCTATTCATGTTCAGACGTTGAAGCATAGTCTACATATCTGTATTAGGCAAACTCCAGGAACTTAAAATGTAATAGTGGGACAAGACAGAACAAACACATGCCTAAGAAACAAACATCTAAGAGAAAAGAGGGCGCCCCAGCAGCCCATAAATAGCTGGAAGCTGAGTGACCAGTGAGGTGGGGAAGGCATGCTGGGTCATTAATATAAAAAGGGGTTCTTAGTGGAAAGCAAATCATAAAATATTAAAGTGGGGATCAGCCTTAGAAATTGTCTTCTCCAACTCTATTTCTTACAGGTGGGGAAAATGAGCCTCACCCAAAGTGAAGTGATTTTTCCCAGGATTATACAGTGCATTTGTGAAAGCGCTGGCCTTGCAATCCTGGCTCCGAGTTCCAATGTTGACTATCGGCCCCTTCAGGAGGTTACAAAATATGTTCAGAAAGTCACAAAAATAAACATGCTCTAAGTGAGAACCAGGGACTTCCCCAGTGGTCCAGTGGCTAAGGCTCTGCACTCCCAATGCAGGCGGCCCAAGTTCGACCCCTGGTTAGGGAACTAGATCCCACATGCCGCAACCAAGAGTTCGCGTGCTGCAACTAAAGACCTCACATGCTGCAACTAAAGACCTCACGTGCCACAATGAAGGTTGAAGATCCTGCGTGCTGCAACTAAGACCTGGTGCAGTTAAATAAATAAACAAATGAATAATTTTTTTTAAAAATCAATGATGGAATTAAAAAAAAAAAAGTGAGAACCAGATCTTGTTTTGGACCACTTCATTGCCCATACCTGGGGTTACAGGAGCTACCTGGGGTTGACCAGTCACAACTGAAATTAGACTCTAGTGTAGCAGCTGATTACTAAAGACTGAAGTCCTAGCCCCAGACAGTGTCCATCCTTCCCTCAAAGCCACAGCTCTACTGGTGCAAGCTCAGCCTTGGGTCCTCTTTGTCTCCCTGGTGAATTTTACAATCAAGGCAAGTTCATCTATTTAACATCATATCTTCTTTGGTCCCATTACCAGTGTTTAGCTGCTTTCTTTCCTAAGAATTATGAGTGGTGCTAAGGCCCAATACTCAACTATAATTTGCTTCCTCTGTAATTTATATTATGCTGCAATAAAATGACATAAGCATCTCAATTTTTCACTCTGGTGAAACAGCTGGAGACTCTAAGCAGAGATTTGAGCTGCCTATTAACACTGCAGTTTGGCATCATTTCAAGTTTTAAAGCTTAGATGTAATTTCCTAATTTTTAGAAATAAATCCAATACACATACCATAAAATAAGCATTTACACCTATATACACTACAGAACGATAACTAAGAAAACATACAGATGACCAAAAGCACATGAAAAGATACTCAACATCACTAATTATTAGAGAAATACAAATCAAAACTACAATGAGGTATCACCTCATACCGGTCACAATGGCCATCATCAAAAAGTCTACAAACAATAAATGCTGGAGAGGGCATGGAGAAAAGGGAACCATCCTACACTGCTAGGGAGAATGTAAATTGGTACAACCACTATGGAGAATAGTATGGAGGTTCCTTGAAAAACTAAAAATAGAACTACCATATGACCCAGCAATCCCACTCCTGGGCGTATATCTGGAGTAAACCATACTTCAAAAAGATACATGCACCCCAATGTTCATTGCAGCACTATTTACAATAGCCAAGATATGGAAGCAACCTAAATGTCCATTGACAGAGGGATGGATAAAGATATGGTACATATATACAATGGAATATTACTCAGTCATAAAAAAGAATGAAATAATGCCATTTGCAGCAACATGGATGGACCTAGAGATGATCATACTAAGAGTCGTAAGTCAGACAGAAAGATAAATATCACATGATATCACTCATGTGTGGAATCTAATTTTTAAAAATGATACAAATGAACTTATTTACAAAACAGAAACTCACAGATTTCAAAAACAAACTTATGGTTACCAAAGGGGAAACGCTGTGGGAAGGGATAAATTAGGATCTTGAGATTAACATACACACACTATAAAATAGATAACCAACAAGGACCGACCATATAGCACAGGGAACTCTACTCAATACTCTGTAATAACCTATATGGGTAAAGAATCTGAAAAAGAATGAATATATGTATATGTATAACTGAATCACTTTCCTGTACACCTGAAACTAAAACAACATTGTAAATTGACTATACTCCAATAAAAAAAAAAAGATAACTAAAAGTATCTAAGTTTCCTTCCCACTCAGAAAGGGAAAGACAGTAATTGACAGAAAGGGAAAGACAGTAACTGATTTCCGGAGATTACTGCTCACAATCATCATGAGTTACCCTAAACTGGTGTTTGGCAAGCATGCCAAATGGTCATTCTAGAAAGCTAGAGTCAAGAAATCTGGTGTAGGTCTTGCTATTAATTAAAATGCTCTACTCAATGATTTCACCTAAGTGTCTTTGCCCCTTAACTTCCAGCATATGAAAAATGGGTATAATAATAAGCTTTTGGAACCAGAACATTTTTCTCCTAAGAATTATATTTTCTTTCATTCATATTGCTTTAATGTTCATACATATATTCTACTATGCAAATTACTTTTCCAAATTATGAATCAGTCCATATGCATCATGCAAAATGTTCAAATCTCTATTATCTCCACTAAGATGCTTATTCTACTTTAGAATCTTTCTGCATTTTTACATTAATATGAATAAAGTAAATAGTATTTCTACAAGCCTCATATTTAATAAATATATTTCTTTGGGGATGTTATGTAACATGAAATAATTACATATCAATGTAGTACTTTTTCAGTTATTTTTATGTAACATCGAGATAAGGTTTTTGCACAAAAGACTGGTTTTATTGAAATAAATTTTACATGAGCTATGGACAGTCAATTTATGCGAAAGCCCTCATTTCCCCCCTTTTCAGATATATTTTCCATTTGGCTGTATGTAACATACACTGTAGCATGAAATAAAATTCCAAAATCATTCACGTAGTACAACTAATAAATTTGCATTATATTTGTAAAGTGTTATAAAGAAAAATACAATTGTTTGAGGTTCGGTTGAAGTGATTTCTCATTTTCCTATTCTTTCCATCTCTTAACCTACTTCTCAGAGTTTGTCTTTAACTTGAAGCAGTACTCTACTGAAGCATTACTATGTGACTTTAGACTGTTCTGCCTGCTTTATGTCTGTTGAGGATAAAATATTTAGAGTTATGATTAAACCCATTAAGACAAAATATTGGGTGTCTATTAACCCCTCTGGGGGTAGACTGGTTCTTCAGATAAGAAAATAAAAATCACTCTTCATTTCTAGCCCAGATTAACTTCTGAAAAGCCCAAATGGCTCGACCATGTTATACAATATGGTAGCTACACTTGGCTATTTAAATTTAAATGTAATTAAAAATTTAGTTCTTCAGTCACACCAGACACTGTTCAAGAGCTCAAGAAGCAGATGCATCTGGTGGTTACTAAATTAGACAGCACAGATGCAGAACATTTCCTTCACTGCATAAAGTTCTACTGGACACCACTGGGCTAGACCATATAGGAGTCGATTCATATATAAATATATGTGAAGATATGCATTTTTTCCATCTTAGTCACAAAACCTACTTGTTTAAACTTAGCTTCAACACATTCACAATCCTGTTTATTTTAGTCCAAGATAATAGAATAAAAATAGATATTTGTACAATTTCTCCAAATCCTACAATGTGATATCAAAGTTCAAAGCCCTGTAATGAATACCTTCTTTGCCAGTGTAAATCCAGTCTCCTGAGCTCCCTCTGGACCGCAGCGTCTTGGCCACAGGCAGAGTTCTCCTGTGGTACCTGCAGAGAAGCCTTGCTAGGGACTCCTCATCAGTGTGGACTAGTCATTCCCACTACTTATATGGCCACCTTGGAGGACAGGTCCCTGGAGGCAAGGTCTCTGCTCTGTGCTCTGGCAGGCGCCCCAGAACCCCCAAGGGGCCCACTCAAGGCAGGCTGACCACCCATGCAGGCCACGCAAGGTTTCCCAAGATCCCCAAGGGGCCCACTCAAGGCAGGCTGACCACCCACGCAGGCCACGCAAGGCTTCCCAGGACCCCCAAGGGGCCGACTCAAGGCAAGCTGACCACCCATGCAGGCCACGCAATGCTTCCCAGGACCCCCAAGGGGCCCACTCAAGGCAAGCTGACCACCCATGCAGGCCACGCAAGGCTTCCCAAGATCCCCAAGGGGCCCACTCAAGGCAGGCTGACCACCCATGCAGGCCACGCAACGCTTCCCAGGACCAGCCAGGCCCACACTTGCTCCACTAGGGACACCAGCACACCATCTAAGCCCCATGCCTGGGCAGACAATCCAGCCCTTCTTTCTGCCCTCAAGGTCCAGATTATACCTAAAGTCTTTCCTGAAAGCCTACACTTGTAAAATATAACTTAAAACATGAAAATAGCCATTTGTATAAACCCAAGGAAAACTGTCCTCAGTAAAAGAAATAATGCATTAAAACTCTTTCAAAATAACAAAATAAAAAAGTCTCATCTGACTAGTCCAGTATAAATACTCTTCTCACCATCCCTTTATCTCCAGATTCCTGAAAACAATGCAATCAACTTCAAATTTTGGTCTTTAAGTGATAATTGTTAAAAAATAACACATTTTCTGAAATATTAAATGTGCATGATTTGGAAACAAGTGTATGCAAATGAACCTTTAAATGTCAATATATAAACCCATTTATCAATTCTCCAGTCCACAGAGAGAGGTACTCACATATTTGAAATTTGAAAATCATCTTTCCTAACAACTATGACCATGGTTTCTAGACTTTGTCTTTAAGCACAAGCCATTATTCCTCTATGACATGACCCACAACAGGAAGATTTACAGCTCCACAAGTCAGGAAAATTCTGTAGTCTTCTGATGGATGGCATCAAAGCTGAAGGCTGAAAGATACTTTAGTGGCATAGCTGGGAACAGATTCTGTAACAAAAAGAAAATATATACTCAACCATTCCCCATTTTATTATGAAGTGTAACTATGTCAAAACACAAATTATTGCCACTTCATACTTCAAGTATAAATGCATTTATTAGAACTAAGTCAACTACCGCAAATGTATAGTCTGGCGTTAGAGATATTTAGATCTAAGAAGAATACATTATTATTAACTCTCATTCTTTTGCAATCTTTCCAACCAACTCACACAGCTACATCAACATCTTGGAAACTGTATGATCCTAAAATAATAAAAGTTGACAAAACAAAAATAGATGGCCAAGGATTTGGGACTGGGGATGCCAGGTGGAAGGGAATACGGTTTACAAGAGAAGTTTGGGCTATTCCTAAATGAAGCACCATCTTATTAATAACCCTTTTATCATACTTACTCTTCCAACTGGTTACTCCCCACTCTCTCTCTCTCTCTTCACAGCCAATTTTTGTCAAGGTATGGTCTATACCAATAGTTCTCAAGGTGTGTTTCTCAGACTCAAGGCATCAGTATCACCTGGGAACTTGCTAGAAATGTACTTTCTCAGGTCCCACCCAAACCTGATGACTCAAAAACTCTGAGAGTGGGGCCTGCCGCTGATTCTCATGTGCACTAAAGTTTGAGAACCAGCGAGGGGCTTCACTTCCTCATCATTCTTGAATCATATCAGGTTGGATGTCCATGTAGACTCACTAAATCTACTTTTTTTCCTTAGAGTGATGAACTCTCTAACTCAGACATTAGTCTTATAGGGAAGGAGGAAAAAGAGAGAAGACAACATGATGGAGAAAAAAGAAACAAACTTAAAAAAATTCAAAGCATATGTCCAGCATAGGTTGAACTATTAAGAAATCACCATTTTCGCAGGTCAAAACCAGCTGAATATTGGCAATATCATTTAGTTCAACCTACTATGAATATGTGAAGTATAGAATTATGATAATTATTTAGAAATAAATGAATGGAATCAAAATCTATCATTACTAAAGTTAACTTTGAAAATCAAATTATTTTATTGCTGGCCACATAGATCGAAAGATTAATACTTATTTTCTCTAATTTGTTCTTGCATTTTTATATAATAGCACTATAATACAATTATGAAGAAACGAATAAAATACAAGAAGGTTTTTCACAAGAGGAAAGTTATATGACCCAAAGATAAATTTTGATAAATAAATGGTTCTGTTATTTCAGTTTCATGTTTAACATAAATTTCTAATTTATTTCATAATATTTCAGCATGCAAAATTAGGGATGGACAAACAGATTAGAGGTAACTATATAGAAATTTTCTTAATCTAATTGAAAAACTTTTAATTTGCCAATAAATGGTATTTTTCATTAATGTGATGAGACATGCATGTTTTCTGAGTGTGACTGATGGAACCTGCCCGCAGGTGCTTGTCTTCAAAGTCTTGGGGGCCAGGGCTACCTCCTCCCTAAACCCACATGCGTGACATCTTTCTTTCAGGTCTGCACCCGGCTTATCAGGAAAAGAGACCTGAAAAATTAAGGGGTAACTTGCAGGCATCTACACCCAGAAAAGAGGTGGGGATTAGGGCTTCCCTTGTGGCGCAGTGGTTGAGAATCTGCCTGCCAATGCAGGGGACACGGGTTCGAGCCCTGGTCTGGGAAGATCCCACATGCCGCGGAGCAACTGGGCCCGTGAGCCACAACTACTGAGCCTGCGCGTCTGGAGCCTGTGCTCCGCAACGAGAGAGGCCGCGACAGTGAGAGGCCCGCGCACCGCGATGAAGAGTGGCCCTCGCTCACCGCAACTGGAGAAAGCCCTTGCACAGAAACGAGGACCCAACACAGCCAAAAATAAATAAATAAATAAATAAAATTTAAAAGAAAAAAACTTTCTAAAAAAAAAAAGAGGTGGGGATTAGAAGAACAAAGGCTGATTTATGCCTTTTTCTGTGTCTAGACGTGACAGAAGGAAGGGGTTCTAAGGCTTCTGAAACACTTCGGAAATAGCCACTGGGGAAAACACTTCTTTCTCAGCCCTTTCCTGAGGTACTGTGACCGCCCTGTATCTTCACCACCCTATGGGAAACCAAAACTAATTGCATCTACTTACTAATCTGCCATCTTGTTTCTTCCTTTTGTGATTTTTACGTAGGTGTACCTTGATTTATACGAGATGACATTTTTTAAAGTTGAGTTTAAATGGATTTTGACATGGAACCTTCTTTTCCCATTAACTAGAATACTGTTTTATCAATATCATTTCATTGAAAAGCCATGTAAAGTTAGTAACACAATCTTCACATTTTAAGTGCTTGTTTCCCAGCCTCTCCGTCACATGGTTGTAGATGTATTAAGCATGCTAATGCACTAGGAAAATTTCATTATTTAAGGAAAGGCAATGTATCTTTTTTTTTTTTTTTGGTAAATAAAAAAAAAATTTAAAAATTTTTTTTTTTTTTTGTTTTTGCCCCTAACCAATTAACTTTTTTTTTTTTTTTTTTGCGGTACGCGGGCCTTTCACTGTTGTGGCTTCTCCCGTTGTGGAGCACAGGCTCCGGACGTGCAGGCTCAGCGGCCATGGCTCACGGGCCCAGCCGCTCTGCGGCATGTGGGATCTTCCCGGACCGGGGCATGAACCCGTGTCCCCAGCATCGGCAGGCGGACTCTCAACCACTGTGCCACCAGGGAAGCCCCCAATTAACTTTTTGTCAGTTTGACTTATAGCAATAAATGTGTTGCATGAGTGAATGGAATACTATACACTCATTTTAAATAATTTTGAATATGAGTAACCTACCTCTTTCTTTAAGATCTTCAATATAGGCTTTCATAAATTCTTTATCAAAATGTTGGCGATCTTGTTCACTTTCCATCGTTTCATCTTGACACTGGGTATTCTCAATAGGATTGTCTATAAGACTTACAAATCTATTCAAGAGAGTATGGAAAATATCACATTTTCACCTATGTATTTGTATTGTGCAAAAATCCTCTCAGAAGAAGTCAAACTTTGTGGCATTAAATCCCAAGTTCTCACTTCTTCTTAGAAGTCACAGCTAACCACATAATATGTGTCACCAGTGGAATTCTACTGTGCAATAATCCAACAGGATTATAGAGTCAGGTTACAGCAGAGACTGTACAGAGGCTTGATGGGGAAATGACAGTTACTTAGCCACAGACAGAGGACAGCGGGCAGGAAGCCATGAGGTGAACGATAACATTTAGTGTCCCCGTCATATACGAGTCTTAGTATGTTTGTTTGATATTACTCCCAATTAGTGACATCAAACTCTAAACTGATGTGGCTACATTGAAAAGGACTCATAAAATCACCACCAAGAAGGTATTTAAAAGATGGACTACATAAAAAAAATCTAGAAACAATAAATGCTGGAGAGGGTGTGGAGAAAAGGGAACACTCTTGCACTGCTGGTGGGAATGTGAATTGGTTCAGCCACTATGGAGAACAGTATGGAGGTTCCTTAAAAAACTACAAATAGAACTACCATATGACCCAGCAATCCCATTACTGGGCATATACCCTGAGAAAACCAAAATTCAAAAAGAGTCATGTACCAAAATGTTCATTGCAGCTCTATTTACAATAGCCCGGAGATGGAAACAACCTAAGTGCCCATCATCGGATGAATGGATAAAGAAGATGTGGCACATATATACCATGGAATATTACTCAGCCGTAAAAAGAAACGAAATCGAGCTATTTGTAATGAGGTGGATAGACCTAGAGTCTGTCTTACAGAGTGAAGTAAGTCAGAAAGAAAAAGACAAATACCGTATGCTAACACATATATATGGAATTTAAGGGAAAAAAATGTTATGAAGAACCTAGGGGTAAGACAGGAATAAAGACACAGACCTACTGGAAAACGGACTTGAGGATATGGGGAGGGGGAAGGGTGAGCTGTGACAGGGCGAGAGAGAGTCATGGACATATATACACTAACAAACATAAGGTAGATAGCTAGTGGGAAGCAGCCGAATGGCACAGGGATATCGGCTCGGTGCTTTGTGACCGCCTGGAGGGGTGGGATAGGGAGGGTGGGAGGGAGGAAGACGCAAGAGGGAAGAGATATGGGAACATATGTATATGTAACTGATTCACTTTGTTATAAAGCAGAAACTGACACACCATTGTAAAGCAATTATACCCCAATAAAGATGTTAAAAAAAAAAAGATGGACTACTGTGACAAAAAATGAAGCTAAAGGAGACAATCCAAAATGGCATTTGATCTAATTTCTTCACAGTTTTGAAAGATTCAACAGCCACTGACCCATCCAGGCCAGCGGTGATGGGAGTGCTGAGTATCCGACCAGGGAGCCCTGGTGCCTTCAACCAGCAGGTAGCATTTGTCCAGAAATCCTCTGAGCTCTACCTCCCCATGCCATTGGCCAAAAACTACAAAATCCTGTAAGAAGGCACCAGAACTTCTTGTTCTTAGAGTACGAGAACCATCTAATCTGGTTCCTGAGACGGGCACACAGGCTCCAGGTGCTTCTTGCTCTTCCCTTGTGTCTGAATGGGTCTCTACTGGGCTCTCTGTCTACTCACTTTAAAGGTGTGGATGAGTCACTAAGGGCTGTCGGGAGCTCCACCAAGTGGTCCCCACTGACGACTAACAAGGTGAGCTTCTTTAAGTTAAGCAAGGCAAAGGGAAGATAGGTCAGCTTGTTCTTATACAGGAGAAAGGTCTGCAGTTCTCGTAGCCTAAGAAGATGTAAAAGGGATTAGAACACAAGGACTTAGCCTCATAGCAAGAAAACCAAAGTAAATTATAAATAAATTCTAGTAGGAAATCCCTAATTAGTTTATTTTTTAAGTGACTCATAAGAATAAACTAACTTTACAATTTAAATGAATAAAGTCATGCCGGGTGACATGATTTGGGTTTCTTTTTTAAGTTTTTACTGACTTAATTGACAGTTAAAGGCAGAGATATAGCAGCAGGATAAGCAAATTACACAATATAAAGTAGGCCAAGATGGAACTTAAAAAATCAGTATATTCAAGTGTCTACTGCATTCCCAAGGGTTAACAGGTCATGGGAAAGAAATCATATTAGAGTTGGAGTGAGAATAAACAAATTCTGGCAACATATTTCCTTTTGTATGTCTTGAAAACACAGTTACTCTTCTCTCATCATATTTTGACTTTAAAACAGGAGTAAACCTGCAGAGTGAAAAGGAAATGAGAAAAACATGCTCCAAATATGTTTTACTCTGTTTTCCATTTTGTTCTAACTCAGTGCCCCTCTCTCTAGTTTTTTCTTTCATTCATTTTCAAAATTTTGACTGATCCCACAAAATATTTCACAAAGTTCCCCTTATGTTTCAAACTAAAACAATTCCCACTTAGCCTCATAAACCAGGGAAGTATCCATACACATCATATGTACCAGGAGTAGAGAAAGGTCATATGAGACAGCACTTGGGACCAAGCCATTTTCGGTTCCTATGTCCCAATAGTTTACTTATGCTACTTTATAACGAAGACTGTGGATTCCAGGAGGCCAGACAGTTTGTTTCATTTACCACTTTGAACCCAGCCCACTCTCTGGGCCTGCCTAGTAATATTGGTAGAATGAATGAATGAAGGAATCGTATATGATTTAGTATAATAGTTACTTTTTAAACAAGAAATAGCTGTAAGGATATAATCTGAAGACATTACTAAGTATATCAATCAAAGCAGTAAATGAAACTAATAAAAATTATCCTGATATCCCAAATAGAATAATATATTTTGATTCTGTACATAATAAATTTACTTTTCTACTTCTGGGGAGGAAAGGAAAGTTAATGTTCCATTCTATTGAGAACTAAAGTAAATTAAAGATGTGTTCAAACTATATACATACATATATATATATATATATATATATATATATATATATATACATATATACACACACATACATATACACACACACACACATATATATATATTGACCAACACAGGTCTGAACTGTGCGGGTCCACACATTACAGTACTGCATGGGTCCATGGTTGGTTGAATTCACAGATGCAGAGGAGCCCCAGGTACGGAGGCTGACTACAAATTACATGCAGGTTAACCACCTCGTTGTTCAAGAGTCAACTGTACATGTATATGTATGGTGCAGACTGGGAATTGTCTTATTCTATAAAGAATCAAACTGATTTCCTGGAAACAAGAAACTCTGGAAAATTAGTTGATCTCACAGAACATTCACGTGTTATGCATGTTTAAAATGTTAGTGACTAATTCATATACCTCACCTTCAGAATGCAAGTAGCTACCTGTCTATGTCTTGTGGCAGGTCACTCAGGTTATTGTTGCTGATATCCAACCACTGCAAATTAGACATCCGCAGGACACAGATCGGGACACTGGAAAACTTGTTTGCTGAGATATCTACGAATGAAACTTGCTTCAAATTACTTAACTAGGAAGGAATAACAAAATATTCTAATTACTTTTTAAGAGTGGGAATTAAGTTCAACTAATAATTTTGAGATTGATGTCTCTTCCCAAAGGCATTTCTATGAACATATGCAAACCAGATCAATATAGTATGTACGTTGAGCATCTACTAGGTGTCATTCACTGTGCTACACGCTGGGGGTGCTAGGATGAAAAGCACACAGTGGCTGCCTTTGAGGAGTTTATACTTTCATAAACAAGCAATGCAATTTTATGTAGTAAGAACTAGTGTGAAGTTTCCAATTTGCAATGTTCAGTAACACAAAGAAAGAAGTGGTTAATCTGCCCAGCATCACAGTGAGGTGAGGGTCAGAGGTCAGGAAAGATTTCACAGAGAATGGAGTATTTGAATTGGGTCCTGAGGTTCCCTGACAGATGGAAAGGTAGGGGAGGAAACTCCTGGTGGGGAACAGCATGTGCAAAGTCAGAGAAGACAGAAAGTGCAAGCCTCAAAGAGTAGGATGACCTGGGGAAGACTGTCTTAATGGGTTTTGGCAAATCTTCAGAAGACTCACATGTGAACCGGTAAAGTGATGTGGCAAATGATCAGAAATCTCCCCTGTTACTCTGAACGGCGTGCCCAACAGGACTTACTCATGGAGTGGACATGGGGCATGGGAGCAAGAGAGGTCAAGGGTGAGTTGGCTTGCTTCCAGCCTGCACATCTGAGCGAGGACTGGGTCCCTCTCTCAGATGGGGAGGACTGGGGAACGAGCAGCTTGTGTGGGGAATCCTGAGTCCTGGCTGTGCACCCTCACCGGGACCACTGCCCAGCATTTCCTGGGTGACATGGGTGCTAAGAGTGGAAGTGGCCTCTTCCTCCCACCCGGAAGTTTTCAGGAAAGGAAAAGAATACGCCTTCTAGGACTAGATAGAGTCTGTGGCCACGGCCTTGTCAGAGCCTCACCAGTGATACTATTTTTAGCCTATTCATTACCAGCAGAATTTGTGAGATCCATCTCTCTCTTCAAGCACAAGAACCTGTTTAGTTTTATCTGGCAATAAAAACTGTTCACTTTCATATGTTCTGTTTTATCAGAAAAGTAATTTAAAATCATTTCCCCAATGAATACAGACAAAAAGAAACTAATGGGTATTTTTAAGTTAATGAAGTTCTCAAATCCTATCTGTAGAACTGCTTTAGTTATCTATAAGTTTTGTTATGAGTATATACATTTTTAAATTTTATCCCCTTTATTTATTTCCAACTGTTTTCAATTTATTCCTCCATTATGGATAAATAAATCAGGATCTGCATTACAGACAACAGGCATCGTATATTAAATAGGCATTAAATAAAAATATATTGCATGAAAATAGGATTTTTTTGCCTAGTTTTCCTCTGATAGCTTTTTTGAACTTAAATTCAGGTTGTGGCCGACTGTAAGAACATTTTTAAAGACTTGATAATAGCTGGTTTAGGGTGATTAAAATGTCAGGAAAAGTCATATAAATAAAAATGAATTTCATCTTTTAAAATTCTTCCCCATGTTACAGACCATTCCATGTCATAAACCAAATAAAAGTGCAAACATTTTCTTTCTTACTTCAAAGGGGAGCTCAGTTAATTCTAGATTTCCAGAACAATCCAGTTTCTCTAGATTTTCACAGTCTCCCAGTTCTGGAGGAATGCTCTTCAGACGGTTGAAACGCACATTGAGTTCCTTCAGGTTCTTCAAACGACCTGTCATCAGAAAAAAACAACATGCATGGTGTCGGTCCATTAAGGTCTTTTAAGGACAAAAAGCAAAACGAAGATGTAAAACATTTGTATAAATGATGGTGGGAAAGGCATTAAACATAATTCTGTGTTTGTTTTTTAAGCACTCTGATTGAATGTCTGCTCATCTTTTATCCTGAGCATTTTGGTCCTTGCAGAGCATTTTTTCCTTTTTCTTTATCTGTTTAACCCTTTGTGAAACTACAGGCTAGGTGAGTGTGGGGGATTTGTACCCTATGTAGACTGGGTCAGGGGCCAGCACCCACAGAGCGCAAACCCCTTTGAAATCACATGATGAATGAAGTAACAGGCAATGGCTTTGAAATGGTCCAGTTCCTAGGAAGCACAGTGACAAGCTATGGCCTATCGGTGGACTCTAATGGGAAGTGAGCTAGGTACTGAAATACACACAAACCTCTATGTACGTGCTAAATGACTCAAACAAGGAGTCATTGTTTATAGGCTGCATGTAATTCACTTATCTTTGGCTTCAGATTTGCATTTACTAATTATGATGTATCGTGCTTCCTAAAGAATATGCTTTAAAAAAGCCTAAGTCCATTTCACAGGCAGGAAGCGAACACACTAAGAATATCAGGCAATAACTGGATTGATGGAGAAACACTGAATCCCAATTCTGTCTTGATTGAATAAATACATGACCAATTCCAAACCAGAAACTAGCACAAGGATAAATATATTTAATATTCCAAAAATCATGTCACGCATGTTCTAAGGCATTGAATACCTTAACATTCTTAACCTAATTTTAAAAATTAGAAAACCAAAATTATTGTTTCCTTTTGCGGAGCAGGCACTCAAAATACAAATTTCCTGACATTTTATAAACGAGAAAGGGAAACATACAAAGACAGTCTATTGGAGACAGGGCCACTTCTGAGTCCACTTTGGTGGTCTCACTGTTAGAAGATAACGGTGATGCTGTGGAAATCAGTGGCCTCTCTAACTTACCCACCTGGTATACACTGCAACCTTACAGTCAGCTATTGGTGTCAAAATAGCAGGATGGATATGGGGGCTGATAAAAAAATAAGGAAAAGACTGCTTTTCTGGGGAGGACTGGAGAGCATGTGATCAGACTAATGATCACCACAGCCCCAGCTTCTGTAAGACAGTATATTGGACAATCCTTCTGTAAATAAGGAAAGTAGAAGATTGGCATAGATGGTGTGAATGTTCTAAGCTGTCTAGTTTCCAGACACAGGAGAGTAAACTTATCTATTAAAGAGTTACCTGATCTGGTTGATGGAGGCATTTGCATTAGGGACACATTTATACCAACTGTATGTGCATTTATCATGAGGGGATGCAAAGAGAAGATGAAGTAACTGGAGAGAAAGCTGTATATGAGCTCCTTCTAGCTAGCTCAAAGAAAAAGTAACTTTCCTAGCTCAAAGGAAAAGCAATAGCTTTAGAAAGTCTGTCTCAAATATAACATTTTAATAATGTATAGACAATAAGAAATTATATATGTTTGTGTTCAAATTGTTGTTCTCCATGCCACTTATTTCCACAATGTCTGATCTCATTATAGAAACACTACCTTTTCTTTCTCAACATTCTGGTAAGAACTTGGCATTATTCATCTGAGATGGGCTCAATTGTCTCCATCAGACGTGGTGAACAACATTATCTTCAAGCACCATGAGCTTGAGGTTCTTGAGAAAACAGTCTTTCGGTGTGACAAGGGTCCCACAACACAAAAACTAAAATAAAACGTTTAAGGCACTGCTATGGTCTGAAAATTTGTATGTTGAAATCCTAATGCCCAAAGGTGATGTTGTTAGTAGGGTGGGGTCTCTGGGAGGTAATCAGGTTTGGATAAAGTCATGAGGATGGAGTCCCCACGATGGGATTCATGCTCTTGTAAAAAGATCCCACAGAGCTCCCCGGCCCCTTCCACCATGTGAGGATTCACCGAGAAGTCTGCAACCCAGAAAAAGGCCCTCAGCCCACCATGCTGGCACCCTGATCTCATACTCCAGAACTGCGAGCAATAAATTTATTTTGTTTATGAACCACCCAGTCTGTGGTTTTTTTTTTAAAGCAGACTGAACAGACTAAGACAGGTGTCATAGCTCCAGCACGTTATATTTCTAAATAGCTAATGAGTCCATCCCTTCCTAGAATGTTCCAGGATCTTTTCCAACTGAAATGAAATCTCCCTACTTATAGCCCATTCTCCCAAGGCCCTCAGACCTAATTTCCAGAGAGGGGACTATAACCCAACTGAGGCACCATTGGTTGTCCAGAGGCTTCTTGTTCCTAGAGCCCAAGGAATACCTTAAGGAATGTACATACTTTAAATTATTTGAGTAAACATTCTTAAATGATTTCAATAATTAGCTATTTTAAACCCATTTAATGATACTTTCTCAGGAGTTCCACAAAGGAGTTAAGAGGACCACCCACTGCCATGCTTAATTCCTTGATGTCAAATGTCAGAAATAATTGTCCTGATAATGAGGAAAAGAACACCCCATTTGGTGACCACTTTCCCCGCACCCCCTCTGCTCAGCCAATGCTCAGTAGTTCTCTAAGGCAGCACTGTAAGAGATCCAACTCCACCTCCTTTACAAAATACAGCCATTCAACAGAAAAGAGCTCAAAACTCTTCATTCCCATGGTCCTCTTTCTTGACTATCTCATCCTGTAGCTGAGTTTTTTTAAAGTATTTGCCCAAGTTACTCAAAGTCAGACTAGAATCGTACCTTCAGAGTCTCAGACCTAGTATCCAATTACTTAGTTTAAATTTAAAATATTTGAAGAACAAGTTAAATAAATCATGCCATAATCATCACTTAGCCATTAGGGAGAATGACGAAAGTTTGGATATTCTAATATTGAAAAATAACATTTATGTAAAGACAACAATAGAGTGGTGGTGGGATGAATTGGGAGATTGGGATTGACATATATACACTCATATGTATAAAACAGATAACTAATCAGAACCTGCTGTATAAATAAATTAATTAAGTAAAATTTTTAAAAAACTTAAGAAAAAGACAATGATGATGATGATGATGGAGGTGGCTAGCAAGTGTTGGGGGTTTATCTGTTCTAAATGCTTTCTTTGTATTAACTATTTAATCCTTACAATAGCCTTGTGAAGTAGGTACGATTATTATCCCCATTTTACAGATAGGGAGACTGAAAACCAGTGAGTGACCTGCCTAAGGTGACCTACCAGTACGTGAAAGTGGGGTAAGTAAGTGGGGTAAGTAAGTAAGTGAAGGTAAGTAAGTGGGGTAAGTAAGTAAGTGAAAGGCTGCCTGGGGGCAGCCTGACCCTAGAGTCCACCCCCACCTTCATGGTATGATAAGGGGAAACAAGGCTTAGGCTGGAGAACATGCTGTAAGCCCTTGTATGTAAATATGTTTAGCGTGCATATATTTTAACATATGTGTATATAAATATTTTTAACATGCATATATATTTTAATACATATTTATAAATAGATATGGCTACAATGTAGATATCTAGAAGAACACATGGGTTGTGTGTACAATTTTTTTTTTTTTTTTTTTTTTTCAGGTTACGTGGGCCTCTCACTGTTGTGGCCTCTCCCGTTTGGGAGCACAGGCTCCGGACGCGCAGGCTCAGCGGCCATGGCTCACGGGCCCAGCTGCTCCACGGCATGTGGGATCTTCCCGGACCGGGGCACGAACCCGTGTCCCCTGCATTGGCAGGCGGACTCTCAACCACTGCGCCACCAGGAAAGCCCTGTGTGTACGATTTTGATACCCAGGAAACTGTTAACAATCCTTACTGAGAGAGTTGACTTTACATTTTATTCCTTTCTAGAACGTTTAAATATTTTGCCCTGCTCATGACTGAGGTTTATGGGGATGATATGTCTCCAAGAAGACTTGAGTGTCTTAGAAGAATCATAACAACTATATGTCCAGCACAACTATGTGCCTCACACACAACACAAAGAGAAACAGTGATGATGATCACGTGGACTTCACTTACAGTGAAGCAAGTGAACAACAAAATGATTGAAAATAATAGAACCTTGATCAAATTAGTACAATAAACTAATCAATGGACTAATATGTGGGAACAATATACTGTTATCTTATGTTTACAATAAATATATTATTGCATGTTTATTTCTAAAACTAATATGTGGGAACAATATACTGTGTCTCATGTTTACAATAAATATATTATTGCGTGTTTGCACTTCTAAAACTAAAAGGAAGAAAAAACAAAAAGTTTCTAAACACAGCACCGCTCACTCATGAGACTTGTTTCTGAGAAACTGGCAGATGTCAGTACTGCTGAGTTACACAGGTGAGACCCTGGCATCAACATCCAGAGGGGACGCCACAAACCAGCAGCTCTGGGAACACCCAAAACAGCCCGGCCCAGCGACTTCCTGCGGCAGCAGGAGGAGGAAGAATTCTCAGTATTGCCTGCTTCCCAGACAAGGGGCCGGAAGGCTCCAGCTAAGCAACATACCAATTTCAGCTGGAAGACAGGAGATTTGGTTTTTTGGCAGATCCAGAATCCTCATGGCTTGAAACAGCTCGATATACTTAGGAATGATCTGAATCAGGGTATTGCTTATGTGCCATTCTTTCAGGTGCGTCTGCTCCTTCAAGGAATCTGGGAGCTCCTGGAATAGAATGGATCCCATCGATCAGAACTAGCTCCTCCGTATGTCGGAGTTCAGAGGCAGAGCACACAGAGCCAAGGAAAACGTGCATTTATTTCAGAAACAAGAGGGGAGAGAGCATGAGTGAGAGCTTACCTGCCAGCTCTATAGCCATTCCAAAAAAGAAAGCAAGATGCTGCTGATGTCATTAATTTCACACTAGCAGATAAGCCAAATTTCAAAAGGGCCATGAATTCATGATTCTATTAAAGTCAAATGCCGAGTGAACACTGACAACCAGGCTCCCACCCAAAGCTACACATGTATTATTTATTTACAACATATGGATTTAACATTTTCTAAAAATAAAATCTGGCCACGTCTTAGATTTTAAAATGTGTGCTGCATTTCCCTTCCTCTGTACTAATCGCTTTTTTTCCTTTCAGCAGACATCTTTTTTTTTTTTTGAAGTGTAGTTAATCTACAATGTTGTGTTAGTTTCAGGTGTATGGCAAAGTGATTCAGTTATACATATATACATAAAAGAATATATATATTCCTTTTCATATTCCTTTCCATTATAGTTTATTATAAGATATTTAATATAGTTCCCTGTGCTATACAGTAGGACCTTGTTGTTTATCTGTTTTATATATAGTAGTTTGTATCCAGCAGACATCTTTTGAGCCATGTTATGTCCAGGCAGACTCATGTTTGGCACTAGAGATACAAGAAGGAATCAGGCAACTCTGAAACTAATCACTTTTTAAAATATTTGATAAACACCTAATACTTGCTGTGCCAAATTTCTAAATGTTTTTATGAGTCTTTAACAGGGAAAGAGCCCAGAAGGACAGTGTGGAGACCTGGACGCCGAGCCATGTTCTAGGGGCACCCCCTCCCTGGGCCCTCACTTCTGAAGTGACAGAGAGGAACTCGGCTGTATCCAGGGCCTCCCCTGGCTCTAGTGTTCTGGGATAAAATTGTAAAGGTGTTGAGAAGTGCTTAAGGCTTTAGAGGGGGCTATTTGTCCCGTTGAAGAAATTCAGTTCACAGGATTACGAGCCCCCACTGCAATGAGGTATGCTGAGCACTGAGGGACATGCATGTCCCCTGACCTCATGGAGCTGACCACAGCACATCAGCTGCAAAGTGGGGCAGGAATGTACAGGGGAGAGGTCGGGTGGGGTGGAGGTAGCAATCAGAAGGCCCACAGTGACCCTTGCTTGCTATCTGGTGCTTATAATGGGCTTTATGATCATTGCTATTGGATATGTGGATTAAGCTTTTAACTTGCAAAAGTACTTTCACCTTAAATGTGCTTTCACGTAACAGTACCATAAGATAGGCAGAGTGGGCATGATGAAGGCCCACTTAAAAGAGGGACACTGAAACCCAAAGACATTTAAATGGGTCACTTAGAGTAAGAACAGGCTACATAGTTTCAGGAACTAGTACAAAATGAAAATGCAGGCCCCTTCTAAAAATTAAGAATTTCAAGATGGTGACAGCAGAGCATTACATCAAGCACAGGGCCCCTCCCAGCACAGGGCCCTGTGTGACTGCCCCCAGCACCCGGGCCTGGCAAACCCATCTCGGCACCTCCTCATCCTGATCTGAATGCAGCCCACACCAGATCAGAGGGTTGCCTCCTGTCGCTGAGACAAGATGACGAGCTGGGCATCAGGGAGCTGACCCTAGGTCATAAAAACACTCTCTCTCTCTTTTTTTTTTTTTTTTTTTTTTGCGGTACATGGGCCTCTCACTGTCGTGGCGTCTCCCGTTGCGGAGCACAGGCTCCGGACACGCACGCTCAGCGGCCATGGCTCACGGGCCCAGCCACTCCACGGCATGAAAACACTCTCTCTTTTGAAGCTTCAATTATCAAGTGTCTCATAAATAACTTCTCTCATATTGCTCTTCCAATAATGGCACACTTGGAAAGGTTATTATGCCTTCCAAAATTATATCCATAACTATTTTTAATAACATGGGAAAATCTTAAGATAGCGTGTTAAATAAAAATAAAAGGAACGGGGTAAAGATGGCAGATTGAACACAACACAGACACTTTTGCTCCTCTCTAAAATTCCATGAAAGATGACAGTAAAGGAATTCCTTTTTGAAGATATAAACCTTACAAAGGGCAAAGAGAAAGAGAAGGGAGGCAGCAGCAGGAAAATGCTGGTAGCTGGAAAACTGGAAGATGGTAACCCACCTCCCTGGATCTGCTCAACCTTAGACCAGCAGCAGCAGGAACAATGAGACACGACCCGAACTTCTCACCAGAGGCTCCCGAGGCTCAGGAAGTGGAAGAGCCGGGCATGTCTGGAGGTGAGAGTGGAAGGCAGGGCTAAAAGGAGGAGGTCAAGTTCAAAGTCTGCCCCCCATCCATGTCACAGAACTACTGCCCCTGTAGAAGACTGAGGCTTATCCACTGGAGGGATTAAACAGAGTGTCTGGATTGGGGACCATCAGGCACATCTAGGGAGGGAGGCAGCAACCACAGGATGAGTGATGGAAGCTGAGACTTCCCCACCCAGCCTTCCTCTCTGTCCAGAGCACTGGTTGCCAGGCCTGTCCCTGCCTGCAGGATGTGAGAGGATCCTCTCTGTGGGCACCCACCAGCTGCAGACAAATCATAAATATGCACTCCTGGGGCGGGGGGTGGGGGGAACGTGCTGGAGACATGGGGCTCCATAGCAACGCCCTCCAAAAACCGAAGCCTTCACCTGACACACACTTGGAGCTTCCAGTTTCTCAGTGCTCCCGACACCCTGTGTCTCCAGACCTCCCAGAGAGTCCCAACATGCCAGACCAACACAAACACCCCAAAAAGGAAAAGGAGACTCTGAAAGATGGAAACTTCCTCCAAAAAAAGCTATCAATCCCAAGATAAGTAAGAACAGCCCCCATGAAATGAAAACAGGACAACATTTTTAAAGGAAAATTTAAGACTCATGCATAAAAGTAGAAATATAAAGTCACATTACAGGACTCATTCATTCACAAAACAAAGAGACAGCTCTTGGAAATTAAAAACTTGACAGTAGAAGTGAAATTTTCTATTGAAAAGTTGTTCAGTAAAATTAGAGGAATCTCCCTGAAAGAGCAGGGCCCAGGGCCTGGGGTCTTCCAGCTCACAAAGAATGCCTGACCCCCGACACCCCCATCCTAATCGGGTACACAAGTCATAGGTCACAGCCCCACAGCCGCTCCAAGGAACCCCAGGGGAGCTCTCCCCACCCAGTTCCCAAGACCCCAGAAGCTCCACCGCCCTGTCCACCTCTTGCTGACCTCCTGCAGAGGCCAGACCTGCTGCCTGGTGAGATGTTAGAGGCCAGAGCTCCCTCGTTGCCGTGAGCACTCTAAGATGGCGAACATCCTTTAATGGAGCTTTTCACTCCTTAAGCAGAGGCAAGACTGAAACACAAATCTCTCTGGGGAAGGAAAACAGCAACTGAAATTCATAGTAATGAATGCCTGAGGCCCCAGAGTCTTGCCTTCGGTGGGTACCCATGAGGATAAGGTACCAGCTCAGGGAACCGAATGCAGGGGACAAGAAGGCTGTAAGTAATGAAGACAACATCCACATAGTTCACCCTGGGGTCTCCCTAGCCTGCTGACTCAACCCTCTTCCTATCCCCCGACCACACTAGGCACTCACTAAATGCCCTTTAAAGTGGTTTTCCAAAGTTGCTGTGAGCCGAGAGGACTCAACAGGTTCCCCAAGCGGGCTGGGATCGTGTTTGACCACGGCACACGAGAATGATTTACCAGTGGTATTTAATTAGAAATCCAGACAGGCCCTCCTTCTTGCCCCAGAAAAGGCAGTATCCGCGTACCCACTGATCTCAATGATGCGGATGCAGGAGAAAGACCACCAGAGGTGTCAGTCATAGTCTCTCCCAGTCTTATAGGGCTGTGTCGCTAACAAGACAGTGTCACAGAATATCTGCTCGTTTAATCCTCACAACAACCCTCTGAGGGGGTCAAGGCAAGCATTAGAACCACTGAACAGGGAAGGAGATAAAATGTGTACAAATGGAGCAAACAGCCTCAGGTCACACGGCCAATAAAGGGTCACCCAAAATATATGGTCTCCCAGTCCAGAGTCCTTTCAGCCACAAAATGGTGGGATAAAAAGAGATGGAGAGCAGGTCCCAGCAACTCCGTCCCACTGAACGGAAGACAGCCCGAGCTCATTTGTGCCGCCACCCGGCGCACACACACCACGTGCTGCTTCAGACAAGAAGCATCAGAGCACAAGCAGCCCCGAGATGCCTCTCCAAGCCAGCAGCAACCTGGGGGAGTGCGAGCAGGAAGCACCGTACACACCCGAGGCACCAAAGAGGGCACATGCTTGTCCTGGCCTCAGAAACTCGGAGGAAAACTGGCTGAAGGGTCTGCGAAATTCCTTTGCGGCTCTACACTCTGTGACAAGTCAGCAAAGTCACCGCCCACAGAGGGGTGTTAGGCAAGTCAAGTGCTCAGAGCATTAAAAAAAAATAAGAAGGCAAGAAGTTCTTTTTAATGGGCGGGGAGGGGTGGCGAGGAGGCGGCAGAATCGAACTTTTTTTTTTTTTTTTTGGCCGCACCCCGTGGCTTGGCGGAATCTTAGCTCCCCTACCAGGGATTGAACCCGCGTTCTCGGCAATGGAAGCGCGGAGTCCCAACCCCTGGACCGCCAGGGAATTCCCAGAATCAAGCATTGCCATCCTGAGGAGCCGCTGGGGTCCCAGTCCCTCGCAGCGTCGTAAGGATCCAAGGGGATCCCGCTGCTCTTTTCAAGACTGCACAGTCCTTCACCGCGGAAAAGACGCCGGCAATGGCTCCTCCGCATCCAGGGGAAAGCTCTCTAAAGACAACAGCAACAGCGTGCACTGGGCCAAGGTCAACGGCCTGAGCTCAGCCTAGCAGCAGACGTCGGCCGCAGCGCTGCAAAGAGCCTCGGCGTGCTGTAGGGACCGAAACGCATGGACTCACCTTCCAGTGCTGCCCCGTAAGTTCAAACACAAACTCACTGCTCCGTTTCTCTCTCTCCTTGGAAACTGCACTCTGCCTTGCGAGGGAGTTCCTTTCAATCTTGTCCAGAAGCCTCACGCTGGTGTCTATGAAGCCATTCTTGCAGTACGCAGCCTGGGGGATGCCCTTCCTTCTGCACTCGGCCACGAAGTTCCACTCCTCCTTTATCCTAAAGCGGGCAGCAGAGGTCTTGGTTATCTCCTGGGGAATCGCCATCACCTGCCTGGAGAAGTCAGGAGGGCCACCTGGGCGCAAGCGCAAGCGCAAGCGCAGTCCTTCTCATCACCTGCAGTTTCCCAGCAGGACAAGCCCTCCCCTCCACTTCCGCCCCCTCTCCGCCCCTTCTTTCTTGTTTCCTCTGCTGTGGTGGATATGGGGTGTGGGGGAAGCTTAAACCCTCAGAGTTGTGAAGTATTAGCAAATCTGACTTTAAAAGTAGAGGAGGTGAGTTAACATGGCTAAAATTTCTACCAAAATTACCTATGCCTTTGATTAATTACAATATCCCTTGATATTATGAGGTGACACCCAAATTTTTCAAAAATGCAAGGCCAGGGCTTCCCTGGTGGCGCAGTGGTTGAGAGTCCGCCTGCCGATGCAGGGGACGCTGGTTCGTGCCCCCGTCCAGGAAGATCCCACATGCCGCGGAGCGGCTGGGCCCGTGAGCCATGGCCGCTGAGCCTGCGTGTCCGGAGCCTGTGCTCCGCAGCGGGAGAGGCCACAATGGTGAGAGGCCCACGTACCGCAAAAAAAAAAAAAAAAAAAGCAAGGCCACAGGAATCTGATGACCTTTCAGGAGCATATGGATAGAAATATACAGGCAGCCCCAGTTTATAAAATTCGACTTTAGAAGGTCATCCATCAGCCACCTTGGGAAACTTCACTCCTGCAGATGAACCTGTTATTCATAAACTCCAGTTCCAATCTGACACTGTGGCTGGCCCAGGACTCCTCAGCCTCCCCATCACTCCCAGCACCTTCTTGTTGCTACTTCTCTGACATATTATTCTATAGTTGTCTTATCCCCCCAGCTTGGTCATAAGCTCCATCATGATGGACTACGTCTTGCTGCCCTCCAGATGCTCACGCCGTCATTAGAACAGTGTTTTGCACCTGGGGGCCTTTCTCCATGTAGAGATTTGATATCTGCTTGGAGCCTTTAACAGGTTGACATTCTATGTGGTACAAAAACAAGGTTTGTTGTGGTTTTCCTTCAAATCTATCACACAGAGACATTGTCTCAAAATAAGGTAGCCTGCCTTGGATAGGAACTTGGTGCATTCCACACTCAGGAAGGCATCTGGGCCCTACTCAGCCCAACTCAGGGACTTGGTGACAGGCAGTATCCCAGGCTTCTAAAAGAGGGCTCTTTTAGAAACAGGCTGCTGATGCAGCCCTGGTCTCTACAGGGCCTGAAGCAATACAAATGCTGAATAAAACAAAACAAAACAAAAAACCCTGTAGTAGAGGGTCAGTCCTAGTATGGAAACTCTCAGGTGGTACCCGAAGGAAAAGTGCACTAGAATCGCAGGAAAGCCCAGGAGCCAAGTGGTCAGGAGGGGCAGGAACAGAGGAAAGAGTCTGGGGCAGAAACATCTTTGAGGACTGGGCATGTGGAAAGTCCTGGCCTGGACTACCAGGCACCGTCAATTGTAAGAAGAAACATAAGGCTGATAAAAGCAAGAGACTGGTGGATATCCTTTTTCTGGAATACTGGAGACTTAGTGGATTTTATCTGATCCTATAGGGGTACACACCTTTGTCGTTGACTAAGCTATTTTACAACTCGGCAGAGATTGAAGTTAACTTGTAGACAATTGACAGCAATACAAATCATTCTTGTCTACAGACATTCTTGTCTCTTGGTGTTAAATACATCTATATGCTGATGACGCACAATTATGTATCTCCAGCCAAGACGTCCTCAATGAATCCAGCCTCCTTGCCTCCCAGCATCTCCACCTGAATATCTAAAAGGCATCCCCCAAATTTACATGTTCCAACCCAAACTCCTGATCTTCACCTGCAAAACTTGCTTTTTCCTCCATCTTAGAAAAAGCCTGCCAGTTGCTCTGGTCAAAAACCTCAGGGTCATCTTTGACTCTATGCTTTCTTTCATATCTCACATCAAATCCATCAACAAATAGGGTCATTTCTACCAGAATCTGACCATTTCTCACCACCTTCACTGCTCCCATCCTGGTCCAAGTCACCAGCATCTTCATGTAGGCACCACTCTTGCCGCCCTACAGTCTAAACTCATCCAGCATTTTGAGTGAGCTTGTGACAGTGTCAGTCACACCATGTCATGCCTCTGCCCATACCTCTCACTGGTTTCTCATTTCACCCAATAAAAGCAAATGTCTCACTATGGCCTACAAGGCCCTGCGGATCTGTGCGCTCCCCTTGCCTGTCTGACCTCATCCACTACTGCACCCTCACTCACTTTTTCTGGCCCAGTCACTCTAGCCTCCTGGTTCTTCCCTGAACCACCCAGGCAAACCCCTGCCTCAGGGTATTTGCACTTGCTGTTATGTCTACCTGGAGTTCTTGATCCCAGATTTCTGCAGGGCTGGTTCCCCAGGACTATGTGCAAACGTTTCCCCCTTAATCAGACTTTTTGCTCTTCAGACACCACTTCAGGTATCAGTGGAGTTTCGTGCTTGCCATTAATCTAGGAGAACAGGAGCGCTTGAAAAAAACTATCTTGCTGACGGCATTGGCTAGCACAGCTACTACCCTACCCAGGTCCTAGTCACAGGTTGCTGAGCTGGGGAAAAGCACTGGGTAATCAACTACCTGGGGCTTCAGGATCTACACATGAAATCTACAAATAATGTAATAAGACAGATAAATTTTAAAATACCAGCACATGGAGAAATAGGAATTTAATACCAGGAGAAAGTGCTGGAAGAGTTAGAAGTGAGCTCCTCTGGGAAATACTAGCAGGGGCTTGGGGTGATTTGCTTTTCATTATTAGCTCTTCTGTGTAATTTAAATATTTTTAATACCATATGATAAAAATAAGTTTAAATATCTACCTGTAGCTCTAGTTCTGACTGTAGCAGTCAGGGATACAGGGCAGACCCTAGATCCAAGGCACTGATTGAAATAATAAAAGAAATCCTTCCAGAATTTTCACAACCAGCAGCACAGCCGCAGCGAGTTCTTGTACTCAATGAGCACTTTTCAGATTAATGTCTCTAAATTTTCTTTCTTCATTTCTTAGACTGAACCTAAAGGTAGAGTCTAGCAAGGTAATGAAATGATACCGGTTAACCCCTACTCAACACATCTTTCCTATATCACAAATTACAAATTGATGTAACTATTTCACATATCTTGGTACAGCCAACGTAAGTGGAGGGAAAAAGGAAATTAGATGCGCTACTTAAAAATAGTTAAATACCAAATCTTTTTTGGATTTCTGTTTTAAATGTTTGATGTCTTAGTCCCTTTGAAACCTAGAGAAAGTCACAATGAGAATATAAACTATTTTTACAAATCCATTCTCTTCCTTGAGAGTAATTAACATAAATAAAATGTCATTGTCTTTATACTTTATCGCCCATATAATTGAATACTCGTCCCCTTAAGTCAATTTTCGTAGTATTTCAAATACAAGATAAACATACAAAACAATGCCATTAGAGCTCTATTCATTAAATCAGTAAGTGTGCAAATAAAATACTCTTTCCTTAGGAAACGAGCCCACAATCTTAGTCTAGATGGCAAATAGGCTCACTGGATGAAAAATTCCTCACTTAGAGCCTAACAAAAGCATCTCTATCTCTCCATCTAAATGACTGAGTTTCATTCAAGTGGAGTGATGTTCCGTACTCAGAACTTTTAAGTGTTAGTATATACCTCATGGAACAAATACAGTATTACAAAATGAAATACCATGAAGTGAGGTAACAGAACAAACTAAACGGTTTTGCCTGGTTTAGTACATTTAAATTAACCAGATAACTGCCTTTTATACAAAACAGTCATCAGTACCTTAACTTTCAGGACCTCCCTGGTGGTCCAGTGGTTAAGACTCCGTGCTCCCAATGCAGGGGGCCCAGTTTCGATCCCTGGTCAGGGAACTAGATCCCACATGCGTGCTTCAACTAAGAGTTCACATGCCGCAACTAAGGAGCCCACCTGCCACGACTAAGACCCGGTGCAACCGAATAAATTAATTAATTAAAAAATATATATGTATGTATGTATATATTAACTTTCCCACAGGAAACAAATTTTGAGAAACTAAAGGGTAACCTTCAAATAGTCCTAACAACAACAGTATAAATTATATTATGAAACTTCAAAAATACCTGCCAGAAAAAGGTAAATTCACTACATTCATGTTTGCAGGTCCTGGGAAATTAATGCTTCTTCCTGAACATCACACTCCTCCAGCCACCCTCCCAGTTCCTCCTCACCACCCATCCAGTTTGGTGGCTGTTTTTCTTATCTTGAGCTAGAAAATCCTAACAAATTCCCAAGAAGTTTTCTGTCTTAGGTTAAGATAAGGCACACCACAAGCCCTATGGCACTGAGCCTAATGCAGGACCAACCCTGTGTACATGAGACGTGTGAATGTGGACACAAAGCCATTTGGCACCACGATGGAAGACAGAGATCGAGAGTCAAACGTGACTGCAAAGTGGCTTCCAGGGCACGGTTCTCAGACCGAAGCTCCTGCAGGTGGCTGCTGTTCCCAGAACCCACAGGCGGTTACCTCAGCTATAGACGCCTCCATAAACCTCCCAGGGCTTGGGTCCCCATTCAGCAAGTTGTCCCACCCTAGAGTAACCCCAGATGCTGGGGGTGGGAGGAAGCTGGAGCAGGGCTGAGAACCACTTTGGGCTCATAGGGCGCTGGGACCTTGTGTAATTCATGCTCATGTAGATCCCTAAGATCCTCTGCCATGGGTGTTGCCTGGTCTGAGGGTTCCAATTCTTAAATTTAAGATTCATGTCATAGTGTATAATCTCATATTAGTGGCAAGTGAAAAGACAGTCCAGCTATCTGTGATTACAGCATCATATAGGGGGAAAGGTTTGGCCAAATCCTCCATTTACCAGCCCTGTCAATTTGGGCAAGTTACTCAGGTCCTAACTTCGTCTTCAGACTGGGGATAATTATAACCACCTGGAACAGCTGTGATGCTTACAGTAGCAGCTTAATTATCAAGCATGATCAGAATAGGTATTTGCTTGATCGAAATAATTCGTAGAAGTGAAGAACCAAGAATAAAGAGACATTCATATCCTACACATTTTGTTTTTAACCTAAAGCCTAGACATATGTCACAATTTGCCAATTTGATGTAGGGTCATGGACCGCCTTTGAGAATGGGTCTGCCAATCAGAATCCCACTCTGCCTTTCTTATATAAACCACACCCATAACACATGATCCAAGATTTCCAGTTTGGGTTTCCTCACAGGGCATAAGAATTACAGACGTGCAAAGCCACCTGAATGTACAACCTTTCTAGCTGATTGTACTTTTATCCGTCTTGTACAGTGTTAATTCAATTGGGTGGTTCATATTGATCACACACATAGTTCTTCCGAAGCCCTCAACTTAGTTTTCATACACACAATAACGCTCTTTTACTCATACTTCATGAGCGTATGACAGTAGTCAAACCACATCATTCCAATCCAAGTAAAAATTGCATCAACACAATGAATCTTATCTAACATTCAGCTCAACGGGTGACAGCTGAGTGCAGGACATAGAGCAGCCTCATGTTGTCACGTGGGTGGACAGCATCAGCCTGCTGAGGGCAGCTAGGTGGTCTTTCAGAATTTCCTGTAGAGGGATTTGTCGTGTCATTGCTGTCTTTTCCATGCCTGGCACAGTACCTGGAATGTATGGGGGTCCTTATAGCTATGAGTGTTACTGTTACAGGAATCGAATGTTCATTGTAGGCAACAGCGTGAAGATTCTGAAGTCCAGTGAGCAAGTGTTACAGACAGGAAGAAATCTCGGAGGAAAGGCATCCCCCTCCACAACACAAATGCAGCCTGTCTTATTCGCTAGAGAGCTACAGAGCAAGTACAGAGAACACATACTTTTCCAATGCGCTTTTCTCGAGCCTTTCTGCCTCCTGCTTCTGCCAGGCTTTGTGCTTCTTGACACGAGTTTCCCACAAGGCTCTGATGACAGAGACGTCGAATACGACCACTTTATGCCCCATTTTAAGAGCATGAAATTACCTATTTAAAAAAAATTATATATATATATGTCAGCTTCATACACACACAGAAGAAAATAGTTTTAACTTGAACTTTAAAATAAAATATGAGTGAATCAATTTCATGCCTTGTTTCTTCCAGGATGGCAGTTGCTAATGTTCTTAGGGTCTGAGAGTACTCTTGTTTGTAAGTCAGAGTTCAGCACTCAACTGGGGTCCTCTCCTCTAGAATGTCACACTTGTCTCTCTACCCCTCAGCTGACATGTGGGTTCCCAAAGCCCCCTGGGCATTCCTCAAGCTTTGTGGTTCCACATTCTATCGAATTTACTGGCATCTGATCTTCTCAGTAGGTTGTAACACACTCAGAGGTAAGTTTGATTAGTTATTTAGAAGATACACACACACACACACACACACCAGTTATCTGAGGCCAAACACCAGCCTCCATTAAGCGCACCAAGCATTGTACCAAACCCCACCGAGCACTCTTCCTCCTGGGACTGACCACACAGCCTGGGCACTTGTCCTGTAGGTTTCTCCTGCGACATGAACCCTCACAGCTGCTGATCTCTGTTTATGTGGTTTCTCAAACACAAGGAAAGTCAGACTCAGGTACATCTTGGTCATCACCTCTTAGTGAGAACTAGCACAGTGTGTGGCACATAGTGGACCCTCCATAAATATTTGTTGAAAGACAAGTGAGTAAATGAATGAATGAAAGTGAGTAAAAGATTTGCATCCAGGTTGCTTCACTCTCAGCCCACTCAGTGAACTTTCTCTCTTCATTTTCCCACCTCATATTTACTATTTGTTTTAAGTCATTATTTGCTCACTGCCAAAAAAAAAAATTATCAGGACAGAAAAGTGCATTTCAACATTCATTCCACTAAGCTATACTTATCTCCCTTATCGAAGTAAAATAAGTTTCTATATATTGTTTTAAACTTCCCCTGCCTACAGCATCAAAATCTGGCTAAAGCCATTTCCTGATGTGCACAGATACACGGAGTGTCAGTTGGCAAACAGTAAGGCTGTTGAATATTCTCTGTTCCAATTCCAGACACTTCTAAATAGCAGTCAGTGGGGATACAAAACCAAATATTTAAATCTTCTGACTCAAGTTTGTGCTCTCCACAAATGGCTTGCCAATATGAGTGGCAGAACTGGCTTATGTTTATGCAGCTGAACATTTGAGGTCAATAAGTTTAGTCTGAAGAGCTGAAAACACTGACCCCAGTTGATTTCCCTCTTTTCTTTAATTTCTGACATCTGGGACTGTCTTTTGTCTCCCTTAAAATTCTTTTACCTAAAGGAGATTTTTGACAAAGATGCAAATGGTGCAAGTTTTGTGTGGACATAAGTTTTTGATTCTCTTGGGTAAATACATATGAGTAGAATTGGAGGGTCATATGTCAACTCTATGTTTAACCTTTTCAGGAACTGCCAGACTGTTTTACAAAGCAGCTGCACCATTTTACATTCTCACCTGCAGTGTATGAGGGTTCCAGTAACTCCACATCCCCGCTGACACTTGTTATTATCTCTCTTCGTATTGTAGCCATCCCAGTGAGTGTGAAGGTTGTCTTTTGTTAGCATTTCCCTGATAGCTAATGATGTTGAGCATCTTTTTATGTGCTTTATGTGTTGAGCATCTTTTTATGTGTATACCTTCTTGGGAGAAATGTCTATTCAGATTCTTTGCCCATTTTTTAATTGGGCTATTTGTCTTTTTAGTGTTGAGTTGTAATAGTTCTTTATATAGTCTAGATACTGGTCCTTTGCCAGATATATGATTTGCAAAAATTTCTTCCCATCTTGTGAGCTGTCTTTTCACTTTCTTGATTCCATCCTTTTACTTTTAACCTAAATATATGGTTATAATCTATATGAGATTTTATAGACAGAATCTTGTTGATTCGCTTATTTAACTCATTTGGACAATTTCTGTCTTTTAATTGGTATGGTTAGGCAATTTACATTTAGTACAATTAAGGATATATTTACATTCAAGTCTATCATTTTATTATTCATTTTCTGTTTGAGCCCTCTTTTGTTTTCCTCTTTTATATTTTCCTGCCTTCTTTTCTGTTATCTGAACATTTTTTACTATTCCATCTTATTTTCTCTATTGTGTTTTTGACTATGCTTCTTCATCTTTTCTTTTTCACGGCTGCCCTAGGGAGTATAAGATACATGCTTAACTTATCGTGGTCTACTTAGAAACAGTATTTTAACCACTTCAAGTGAGATATAGAAAGCTTATTACCTGGGCTTCCCTGGTGGCACAGTGGTTGAGAGCCTGCCTACCAATGCAGGGGATGTGGGTTCGAGCCCTGGTCCAGGAAGATCCCACATGCCGCGGAGCAACTAAGCCCGTGCGCCACAACTACTGAGCCTGTGCTCTAGAGCCCGTGAGCCGCAACTACTGAGCCCGAGTGCTACAGTTACTGAAGCCCACATGCCTAGAGCCCGTGCTCCGCAACAAGAGAAGCCACCGCAGTGAGGGGCCCGCGCAACGCAAAGAAGAGTAGCTCCCACTCGCCGTAACTAGAGAAAGCCCACGAGCAGCAACGAAGACCCAACTCAGCCAAAAATAAATAAATAAAATAAATAAATTTATTAAAATAAAAAAGAAACCTTATTGCCATATAGATCCCCTTATGCTCTCACCTTTATGTTGTAGTTGTGCTGTGTATTATATCAGTCAGTGTTAGATTTCTTGGCTTCAGATCATCAAACTTATTTCAAAGAACTCATGAGGAGGAAGCTAGCCTGTCATATCTACCCTGATATTTACCGTATCTGTTGTTCTTCCTTCATTCCTATTGTTCCAAGTTCCCCTCTGGTATCATTTGCTTTCTGTCTAAAAAACTTCCCTTAACAATTCTTTTAAAGGAGGTCTGCTGGCAAATTCTCCATTTTCCTTCTGAAGGAGGGCAGGAGGCCCACAGAGCAAATGGGCCACACAAGGCTCTGTTTTCTGGGTCAAGAGAGCTGCAGAAAGTGATTGCTAGCCAAGGCTGCCAGGTTGCAAAGGGACCATATTCTGTGCCCATGACTGGGGCAGGCTCCAGCAGATGTCCCACAATGCTGATCCTCCCCTGGGAAATGCAGGAAACCTCTTCCTACTACACTGTCACTCCAGCGTCCTTTACTGAGAAAGGTTAACAATGGTGTTCACTTCAAAGGACGAATACTTAAAGGAATTCCATTATATATCACAGAATACACACACTGAAGAGTGCATTCAGGTTGAGAGGCAATAAGTTGATAACTAACACAGTAAGTGATCAATTTGGTTGGGTTCAGACCTCACATTCCAACCTGCCCTCTGAGGTTGTGATTCCCACGTCAGATCAGTCTTCTGACTTTGCAGTGCTCTTCAGCTGTTCTGTGGGCGCCACCCAGTGGCCATCTGGGACAGGGGTTCTAACAGACTGCCAACGCTGCTTAGGGTCAGATCCATGCAGGTGCAGCTTGGGAAAGAGCCCAGGAGCTCATAAGCAACCTTTTGGGGTTGTTCTCCAGAGCTTCTCCCTCTCGGTGATCTCTCTGGTCCTTCTAGATTCCTGGGGCTTGCTTTTCAGTCCTCTGGCCAGAGACCTGGTGCTTTAGCTACCCTGCTTTGCTGTGCATGTCCTACAACTGCACTGTGTTGGGCCACACAGTGGGAGGACAGTGCAAGGAAAAAAGCAATGAGAGTTTCCTCCACCCTCTGGGGACCACAGCTCCTCTGCTCAGAAAGGAAGGATCCCTTATCCCAAAGGATGGGTGACGGAGGTCCTCCATTACCAACCTTCTCCCCGTCGCCCCTCACTGCTGCTACTACTACACAATCCTACGGGGGCCTAAGGCATTAGAGGGTGGAGCAAAGAAAAAGAAAAAAGACAGGGATTTACCCCCACGCTCTGAGCATTAGGAGCCTGCTTCTCACTCCTGGAACAAAATTAGGTGCTTTGTGCTCAATTCTGGGTTTCAGGCTGCCTTGAGTCCAGGCTGGGGAATACTGGAGGGGAAAAATGGGAAACAGACCACAGGTTCTGTTCTACTTTGAATTAGGGTGTCCTTCCCTTCTTCTCTTGCAACTGCTTACTTTTCAGGGTCTTCACATTGCTGTTCTGTGTAATGAGTCCAGGTTTTATAGCTACATTTAGTGGGAGAGACAAGGTGAAGTGTGCCTACTCCATCTTACCCCAAACCATAAATCTCTGCATTTATTTTTTCTTTTACCACTTTCCTTACTCTGTTACCTTCAGCTCAGGAGCACCTAAGCTGCAAAGGTCTTAAGGTCTAAATTTTTTTAAAGAGAAAGAATTAAGCAGCCTAGCTCCTTTGAGGAAATCTCTGCACATAATCCAAGTCTACACATAAAAGCAAACCAAAAAGCCAAAGTAAAATGAACTGCTTTTGAGCAGTGTGGACAGTGAGTCATCCAAGGGTACCTGAAGCTGGAAGACCCACCTGCTGTCCAGGGTGTGTGTGTTCTAGATCAGCCAGTCACGGCTCTGATTCTTTTGTGGAGTTTCCTTTATTTTCTCAGGCCAACAAATCCTTGAAGAGTAACCAGATCTGTACATTACTATGTACGATAATTTCTATGCATTAATTTAGAGAAATATAATTCAAGTCCCTATATTAGAGAAATGGTCTATTCTTGATGCCTTTGTGTTCTATTTTTAAACATTTGTAAACCAACATTAGTCTCAGTATTTTGGTGGAAAAGAGTCTATCCTGTCTGTCATCTAACCACGTTCACTATTTTCTCTGTGTTTTTGCCAAGCAGAGAAAGAGGTACTATCCTTCAACTAAGGGGGTTTTGAAAGTGCTAGGATTTAAATCAGGGTTTTGCCTATCAGATATTCTATTTACAAATGTGTGTAATGAAAACTAGAGACTCTAAGAATGGTAAGTGATGACCACGTATGCTGGGGATCTACATTGTAACCTCCAGAGATCCTGCGAAGGTAAGAAATACCAGTTCCTAAATCCCGGGTCCAGCCGAGCTGCTGGCATCCTGTGCA